CCATGTCGAGCGTTATGACGGCCAGTCCGGCTTCCCTGGCGTCGTCCTGTGTTGAGCCCGTCAGCTAGTATGTATTCAACTACGCAGCAGCCCATCGCCTTGACTTCAGCGCCCCTCATTGTCTCCTGGGCCAATTTCAGCACAGCCATACCCGAATTCTACAAAAAAAGCAAGCAAGGTTGGCGGCTCATCGGGTCACCACGTAACGATGGCGCCTCCCGCCCCCCCGATCCGTGCCGCGCGAGAGTCAATGGGCCACACAGCACAGGCTCCTCTGTCCACTTGAACAGCCATGACACGACCGACAATAATACCTACCTAATAATAGATAGGCCTTTACGATACCGGCTGCTCCGATTGACAGTATTAGCATGTCTGGGAGAGCACAGTGTTGTACAGTACAATCCAGTATTATATACAGGGGTGTCGACTACTCCCTACCAGACACCACACGCGATGTCCCAGGCGCAAAATGCCCATGCGCCGAGTAACACCCTGGTCATCATTCCACTTCGAATTGACGAGGAAGTACTCCGTAGTGCCACAGGACTTCAGTTCGGATCGCCGAACACTCCATTCCGATAAGGATGAACCTCAGAAACACTACGCCGTAGATCGGTATTGTTTAATCGTTAGATCGTTACCCGACAATTTGGGCCCGGGCACGTTGTGGAATCGGCGGGTTCGGTGAAAGCAGGCACTGTGCAACGCTCAATTTTGTCTTGTTTATTGCCAACACGAAGGACACCACACACATCCTTCACTCAATAAATCGGAGGCCATGCATTTTTTGACAACGGGTGTGAAGTGCCCAAAAGCAAGCACTCTACTCTGCCATCTCGCCGGAGACATGAATGTCAGTTATAGTTCGTTGGGTGTTTTCTTTTCCATTGTTGTGTGCATCATACACGTGCCATTTCGCTGATGCTGTTTAGGACGGCATGTACAATTGACTAAGTATGCACTCCGTACCTGAGCAGGAATAAGGAATTCATTCAGGTCCGCCTGTCTCACGCGAAGACAAGAGGAACTTTGACAGTGAACCTATCACAACTAGTAATTCACCCTTCAACCAAGGCGCAATGTGGCTTCGTCTTTTTACTAGTTGCCGTTGCCCCTTTTCGTCACCTATGTATGTCATCTTTGCAGGACCATGGTCCTGACAGTTTTCCTTCTTCTCCTTTCCGCCATCGAAACCTTCCCATCCTCCTCGTGCCCCGGTCCGTTGGAGTATCGGCCAGCAACACAAAAGAAAAAGTCTTACTCGTCGGCCTGGAAAGGAACCGCGGTGGTCTAGTGAATATATTGTCTATTTATTTACGGTCAGTTTCCAAAGAGCGGTCACTGTCGGGAAAGACCGCCATCTTCCCCTGCCTTCCTTGCTTCACTGGGCACTGGCCGATGCATTACTCCGTACCGACTGTTCCGTATGCTATCAAGGCGCGGTAGGCATGAATACCTCATTCTTGGGGCGGGCGCCAGGCAGCTTTACGGAGTACGGAGTACTTGGTCAGCAATATAGATTGCCGAGGCCAAATTGCGTGTGCTGGGCGCTGTGTGTTGTGCTCTCACAGAGGTGAATGGACAACCGTGACAGCGATTGACCGATCCTTTTCTGTACCAGCGTGATATAGATGGCTCGGCAAAGTCATCATTGCACGAGCTGGCTCTCGGAGACCGCGACCGTGCAGCCATAGCGATCTGCCGCAACGAGCATGACATGGAACATGTACGTACAGAGACGTCTTGAGCCTGCAAGGACGTCGCGACGATTGAGGACACCATGGCTCCATGCGCAGTCTTGTCATCCTACATCCTACATCCTACAGAGGGCGGGTCCGCGGCACGCTTCCGGCCCCAGAAATGGCCACCGGTCTGGGATGAGACCCACGTGGTCTCACCATGGGGATGGTTGTCAGAGCAGGAGCTATGGCCCACCTCCTTTTCCGCTTTTCGCCCACCCTAGAGCTCCAGTCGAGTTCGTAGTACTTGAATCTTTTTCACGAGCTGCTGATTGATCTCTTGACTAGATAATCTGATATATGTACGGAGTACGGAGTACTCCGTATTGCGATGTAGTATTCCAGTGCTCATGGGTGTTGTTATCCTCGTTCCCTGGCATTCGTATGTCTTATGCATCAGCTTGCCATGGGTCCATTGCCCTCTTCCCTTCCACGACCCAGACTTTGCTTTACGTATTTGACTTGGTAGCCAATCCGCCATGCATATTCCGCGGCATAAATGTGGATTGGTTGCGGCCCTGCAAGCGACTGTTTGCTGCAGAGTATCTGTCAATCGGTCAGAATCTAAATCAAGTCGGTACGGTGAGCGTATGCGAGAGATGCAGTAGGTAGCCAGTATTAGACATATTGATGTAGCTTGAGCTGGCGGCTACGGGCGAGTCACCCTCGGTCCCCATCACGGCATTGCCCTAAGCTCGCGATGTCATAGCAGATGGCATATGTCGTTCCCAATAGGCGAGGTCGAAGAGGCATGACAGCAAAGTTCGGGCGAGGGTTCCCGTTATCCTCCCCCCACTTCTCGCTTGACGTTCAGTAGTCTCTCATACCTCGGGAACGCCCTGGCTATGGTGATGTGCCTGCGATTTCGATAGCCCTTTGTTACCATGTTGTATGTCTGATTCTTGGATCACAGATTCCGCACCGATCATAAGCATGGCTTCTGCGTGTTTTCGCCCTTTCGCTACCGGGAATTCTAGCTATCAAAATATTCGTGTCGGGTGTGTTTCACCGCCCGGCAACATTCTTCCTTTCCTACTTAAGTACTTAAGTATGTAAGCTACTTCCTTTCCTATGTAAGCACATCACTGGAGTCGAGCATAAGAACACCTTAGCTGCGAGAATGTTCAGCTACCCAGGTACTAACTACTACCTACCTACCTAGGTACCTACTTAGGTAGATAGGAAGGAGCTATGTATACCCAGAGCATCTTTCACCAGGGGTAATATTGAAGCTAGAACCCGCACGAGTTACATGTGCGAATACGCAACTACCCTGTAACTGATACTTGCCGCAAAAGATTGTTGCCTCGATTACATGCCACACTGATGGGCCCTGCCGAGTGCGGGAGTCTTTGGACGCAGGGCACCACCTCGCGAGCGTAGGTAGACAACTGGAGAAGACTGTCAGACTCGAGTCGTCGTCCTATACATACCAACTAGGTACATACGCGCACATGTTTTTCTCGCCCTCAACATGTCTAAAATACAAAGAAATTTGTAGGGACAGTTATATTATGTGTGCCCGTGAAAAAGCACAGACGCGCGCAAATGAATTACCTGGTAGGCGGCTGCTTAATAAGCCATACAACAGAAAACACTGGAGCTAGAGTCGTGTGCTCCTCAGAGGCTCAAGGGCGATGATGCGACGGCCCTATTCATGAACCAGAGCGGAACCTGATCACCTCCAGGAATTTACGTCGTGAAATGCCCGACAGCGTCAAGCGAACACATCCAGAGTAGAAGATAATCCTCCAGCGTGGTAGTGAGGTGGCCATTAGGTCTGCGCGCTTTTTGTTGGGCGCACTTGAGTACAGACTGGCCCACGGTTTGACTACCTAGCATGTGCTTCGAGATCTGTCGGGTGCTCCAACGACCTGTCACGATTCTCTATTCATGTCCGGGAAGAAGGGGTTGACGCGCTGAGGCGGTTTGTGACGGCCAATGGCCTTGTTGTTGTTGGGGGAACTCCGCACGTATCCTGTAGCGTGTTCCTGAAGCGACACTCCGATTCCCTCGACTCTGAACTGTATTGTATCAGAAGCTGGCTCGAGGTGCCCAAACTCAAGCTCGAGTGAGCAACCAAGCAAGGGTGAAGAAGGGCTTTCCTCACTTGCCCTTGCTGTCGTCTTCCGAGCCCCTGGTGCAGACAGAGGGTCCAGGACTGGGACCTCCAGCATATAGTGTGGGCTCAAAATAGTCCAGATGATATCAAGTCAACATCTAGCTGGAGGATGTGAGGGAGACTTTTCACGATGCCTTGAGGCGAGGGACAGTCAGAGCTCTTACCAGTTGACGGGACACTTGCGCAATGACCCCTTCGGAATATTCCGTGTTTCTCGGACTACAAGTACCGAGATACCTCTGGCGGCACCAGACTCAAGTCTCCAGATACGTGGCGTATGGGGCGCGAGGCATTAGCGTTGGGAGTACCGACACTCAGGCTCTCTTAGTCAACGGTACTCAAGCTCAAGTTACTCGACAAACTTGGGTCAACCGACAGCTTGCGACACGGCTGCGCGGCGGACTCGAGTCGTCGCTCACTTTATTACTCCGTACATCTAGCCATGTTATTGAACCATGCTCTCAAGCTTCGTGTCTGGTCTCAGCTGGTCAACGGGTGCCAAGCGTGCCTCAAGCTGCGTGGTAAATGGTACGACGTGGGCACTTGACTTGGCACTGGAGCATTTGTGTGCCGCCTGGACACCCGCTGGTCGGTCCCTCTGGTGCCAGTCCCAGGCACAGAGGCGCCGCCTACTAGAGCCAGCCAGCCTCACATCATGGAACCCGCACAGCCTCTTCTGTGCTTGTTTTAAAAACCCCCCACCAATTCGTCGTCCCCTTAAACCTCCCCGCGCCGGCAAGCACCAAGTTCTGCACACAGCGCATTTTGCAGGTGGCATGATCGTTGCATTTGCGGATTCATAACCTGCCACCTCCAGCTCGGGGAAGGGCTGACTCGTGGTTTGGCCATGTCCTGAGAGCATCAATCAATCAGCACGCCGCCGAAAACCGACCAGCCCCAAAGTGCTCAAGTCTTCAACCGTTGACTTTCTGCTTGTCTTTGGCAACGTCGGACGTACGTCGCAGTATCTTGACCCTGCTTACCTAACTTCAATTCCCCGTCCGCCACATCAACCACTTGACGATCAAACTCTTTATATCTGCCACTCGACGGAGAACCTGCTGCTCTCGCCGTCTTGTGGCATTTTGTGTGCGCCTTGCCTCTGAAGGCTAACCCCTCTAATCCCCGCACTCGCCATGGATGGCATTGTGGGCACCGCGCCGCCTGGCACCATGTATGTGCGAGCGTTATACGACTACGAGGCAGACGACAGAACAAGTTTGAGTTTCCACGAAGGCGATGTTATTCAGGTCATCACTCAACTGGAGAGTGGTTGGTGGGACGGTGTCATCAATGGGGTCCGCGGTTGGTTCCCAAGCAACTACTGCCAAATAGTTGCGAGCCCGGAGGACTTGCCAGAACACGGCCACAACGGCCCTACAGACCAGGTCGACGACGAACCGGACGAACCAGAGGGCTTCGACGAGAGCTTCGACCAAGATGACGATTCCGAGGCAGAAGATCCCGCAGGACTGCCGCTGGAAGGCACCGATTCTGGGGACAAATCAAGAGCCGACTTTTGGATCCCTCAGGCTACTCCCGACGGACGGCTCTTCTATTATAACATGATGACCGGCGATAGGAGTATGGAGCTACCTCTGGAGTCACCCTTGTCTTCAACCGAAACTGGTCCCAGGGATCGGGCCAACGTTAACATTCCAGACAAAACGAGACCTCCTCCCGAGATGATGGCGCGCGGGCTGACCCAAGACGAAGACGACGACTCGGCAACCTCTGCCTCCGAAGCCGAAGGCGAGTCCTTAATGTTCGCCTCTCGAGGCTATGTGGTATGGATCCATGGAGCACATGTTGACGTACATTCTATACCCCACTGCGCATCTGGTCACTAATCGTCAGATAGGGGAGAGATCGAGCTTCCACGAGCGGCGTCTTGTCACCTTCTACCTCTATGGACTCAATAAACGGTGCATCTCCAAACCGACGGAAAAGAAGCGATGTGCACCCCAACGGCAAGCAGGGCTCTTTACAGCCCCCGAATATGGCCTCGGCCACTTCCTTTACCAGCACAACGTACAATCTGCCAACAACTGCAACTGTTCCGCGTTCCTTTTTTGACGACGGGTCTACACCCCCTTTAACGTGGAGCCTGCTAGTTTCCAACATGAAACGTGCAATCGACCGATATCGCGAGGCAATTACGAGAAATTGCCGATCAGAATATGTTGCTAGAGCTGAAGATATCTCGGATCATTTGCGACTTCTGCTCGCGGCCGGCTCTGGTACAACAGACAATCACTCTGGGCAGCCGTCCATCATTTCGACCAATAAGGCGCTGTATCCTCATTTCCGAGACATGATGTCAAAGTTCTCGAAGCTTGTCATTTCGTCACACATTGCTGCTGCCGATTGGCCCAACGCCGAGTCTGTACAAAAGTGCCTACAAGAAGCAGATGGGGTTCTCCTTGGAGTCTTCAGTTATGTTGAGGTAGCTCGACAACAACGTGGGGAAGAAATACCCCGTCTGTTCCCTGGCTTCGTGATTGGCAGTACCGTTGGAGGTAGTTGGCAGAACAATGGTTTGGGGCCAAGAGATCCCATCACAGCCAATTTCCTGGAAGATGAAGAGGGCCTGGTGGAGCCATCGGCAATTCTGAACAGCAAACTCCTCGAAAGATTAGACGAACAGAAACGCATATTGGTATCGAGCATTCGCGAGTTGGACAAGAGTCTGATCACTCCCGAAAAGATTGTAACGTCCCTTCGTCATGAGACTGTGGGCAATAATGTATGCTCTGCAGGCGGCAAGGTTGTCGAAACCTTCAAAATGTGGATCGCCATGATTGAATCTATTGATCTTTCTTCGCTGGGAAGTAGCTTTCAAACTCCCCAGCTGGGCGATTTTGGTGTCAATAAACAAAGCCTATACGACAATATTTCGGACTTGATTCTTGGCTGCCAGGCAGTTGCCGGACCGTTGGCAGATGAGTGGAACGAAGTGCGGGGCGAGTCTCTTGAAAACCGTCTAGAATATGTGCGCCAGTGTGCTAGAGCATTGGAGACGAATTCATCTCACATTGGGTTTTCTTTGCAACTTCTCTCAGAGCAAGTTCAGGTAAACCCGCAGCTTCCACAGCATGCCGAGTCTCGTACACGAGAAGACTCGGTCCCACGAGCAACGTTGCAACGGGGCGAAACTTTGCCATATGAACGATCACATCAGCGGTCGGAGTCGAGATCTGCCCCTGGCCGGCCGTCCCTGTTGTCGGCACAATCCTTAAGTGAAGGCGACCCCCCAGCTGGCAATTTCAGAAAAGGAGACTACTCCAAAGTCAAGAAGATATTTGGGGAGGATCCGTCGCCGCAAACTGGTATGCAGGCCAACGATGATACCCCCGACTTCTTACGGCTTGATTACGAAAACGATGTGTCATGGGATACCAAGACTGCGTCGCCCACGGTAAAGGGAGGTTCTCTTCTTGCACTAGTTGAACAGCTCACCCGCCACGATAAGTTAGACTCGAGTTTTAACAACACATTTCTTCTCACCTATCGGTCCTTTACTTCAGCGCGAGAGCTGTTTGAGCTGTTAGTTAAACGGTTTGGCATACAGCCACCAGATGGTCTCAGCCAATCAGACTTCGAATCCTGGCGTGACAGGAAGCAAAAGCTGATTCGTTTTCGTGTTGTGAACATCCTCAAGAGCTGGTTTGATAGCTTTTGGATGGAGGAGCAGAACGACGAATCTAGACAGTTGATTCGCGACGTTTACACTTTTGCAAGAGACACCGTCAAATCTACAGAGACCCCAGGGTCAGGCCCTCTAATGGCTGTCTTGGACCAGCGACTGAGTGGTAAAGAAGCCGGTGCTCGTCGAATGATTCAAACATTGAACCAAAGCACGCCAACACCTATTGTTCCAAAGAATATGAAGAAACTGAAGTTTTTGGATATTGATGTCACGGAGTTTGCTCGCCAGCTCACCATCATTGAGTCGAGGCTTTATGGCAAGATCAAGGCTGCAGAATGCCTGAACAAGACCTGGCAAAAGAAGGTTGCGGAAGGTGAACCCGATCTGGCACCCAATGTAAAGGCATTGATTCTCCACTCCAATCAGATGACCAACTGGGTCGCGGAGATGATTCTTGCCCAGATGGATGTGAAGAAACGAGTTGTCGTGATCAAGCACTTTGTCGCCGTAGCAGATGTATGTTTCACCACGTTCTTTCCATACTTTTGCCTATTGTTTCTGGCCATTCCATCTCTTGCTAACCTGAAAACAGAAATGCCGGAGTCTTAACAATTTCTCTACCCTGACTTCCATCATTTCAGCCCTTGGAACAGCGCCGATTGCTCGACTAAAGCGGACTTGGGACCAAGTGCCCCAGCGAACACAAGGAGTCCTGGAGACTATGCGTCGGGTAATGGCTAGCACCAAGAATTTTGGCGAGTATCGTGAGGCTCTTCATGCAGCTAATCCGCCATGTATTCCTTTTTTTGGTATGTATAGAAATCAGACAAGGTTTTGGGTTCTCACTAATGCATTGATTAGGCGTCTATTTAACTGATCTCACTTTCATTGAGGATGGCATTCCCTCGATCATCAAGAAGACGAACTTGATCAATTTTGCAAAACGCGCAAAGACTGCAGAAGTAATCCGGGACATTCAGCAATACCAAAATGTGGGATACTCTCTGCAGCCTGTTCCCGAACTGCAAGATTACATATTAAGTAACATGCAAGCTGCCGGCGACGTACATGAAATGTACGACAAGAGCTTGCAAGTGGAACCAAGAGAGCGAGAAGACGAAAAAATTGTGAGGTACGTACGTTGCACAGCGGGCGCAGCCGCCATGGTATATGGCATTGAGATACTTTCTGGCGCAGCTTTTCAGAAAATGTCATCAGTCTCGCTCGCCTTGTATGCTTGGCAATATCTCGCCGCCATGACTTTTTCCCTTTCCAAAAGAAAGTTTTTTTTTTAAAGAAAATGAACATGTGGCTGACAATTCTATTTTTTACTACTATAGAGTCTTGGCTGAATCTGGGTTCCTTTAAGTCAAAAGGAGGTGAAATAATGAACCGAGTCAATGAACCGAATCTTTCAACCAACCCGCTCAACCAAGTTGAATGAAAAGAATTTAGCGCACGCCTCATCTATAACAGAAGAGTGCCATCACCACGCACATGAAACACTTCGCAGAGATACCAATCAAACGACGGAAGGGAGTTCTAGCACTGTGGGCAGATGGCCCAGTCAATCGCAGATGTGCTAGCAGCCGAATCGTGTCACGACAGGGACAGCCAAGGCTCCGCGTCTACACTTGGTCTTCAGTTTCAGTTGACTCTGCTTCCCTCGTCGTGTTGATTTGCAACGTCGTGTGGATGACTGGGACGCGTGATCATCTTGGCATAGCTGCAAGAACTCCAACTAGTTTACTTGGTCAGCTTTCCCAAGGGACACGGCCAGCGCCTAAATGCTTGGCCTATCGTTGGCTAAATCTATATCGAGATGGATTGGGACAGCACTTTTTAGGACCGACAATGTCCCTGTTTACTTTATTCTGATGCTCCGGATTCATTGGCGAATGAGCTAATCAGATTTGAGTGCTATTTTCTATTGATGCAGTGCCATGGTTGGCGTTCCGTCGCTATGTTCTGACATCATGCTTATGTACAGACTGGAGTACTGCATATTTGGAGACATGAGGATCTTTTTTTTATAAAGGAAGTGGGGTTGAACTCTTGGTGAGACCAAGTTAGCTTGTATTTCGATTCTTGTCGGGTCGACTTGAGTATTGCTGGCAATGAATGCGGCCGATGTGTTCTGATGTGTTTAGATACGAGCAACGACTGTGGCGATAATGGCACACTAAAACAATGTACATGGGGTATTTGTAAACTTGTTCATACGATATTATTGCTTCCGTGGGTAGCGTGACATTGAACCATTACATGGTATGAGGTATGGATGTAGAACCGCACGATACTTGAAAGTTCGTTTGGTGAGCTATTAAAATGGAAATAAAGGGAAAAGAGGAAAAAACAAATTCTTCAGACAATGGCCAGTCGGCCGATTCCACGAAAGAGTAATAACCCAGATGAACACATGTTCCAGTTTGTATCAAACGGCGTCTCCCGCCCTACTCAAATAACTTTATGCAACATGGCTCCTATCAAGACTTGTGTATGTGCAGCTTGTCCTTGATCTTTTCTTTAAGGCTTGGCTTTCCATCCTTGCCGCCGCTACCAGATGAAGATGAGTCAGGCTTGGGATGGTCAACACCACCTTGGCGGTCGACTCCTTTCTCCTCCATGAGACCTAGGAACCGAAAACAATATTGTGTCAGCACGACATGGGTGGACTTCGGCGGTGCGGGAATTGTGAATTCTCAATTTCATAGGGCCTTCAATCTGCGTGACTCGACTGGGAATGGGAAACGCCTGTGTATGTGTGTGAACTGGACAAGACTTACGATCAGCCTCTCTCCCTGCGCCGGGGTTTGTCGCGTCAAAGTTTCCGCCGTCTGCAGCGAGACCCGTGGTCTTGACGTATTGTTCGCCCGTTCCTTTGCTTTCAGGGCTCTTGTCGTCTGCGTGGCCGGCGGTGGCGGCGTCGCCTTTTGCGGATGCAGACTCGAATCCGGTTTGGATATTGCCGGCGTCACCGCCGTTCTCTTTGGCAACGGCTGCGAGGGGCCTGGGGCCATCATCTGCCTGTAAGCTTTTCTCGTGGCCCTTTTGGACTGAATCGTCGTCGGGCTCGTGGGTGGTGCTCTCCGCAGATTCTCTTTTCGAACTGAGGGCTTCCGTTTGTTTCTTACTGTCTTGCGTCTCTTTCAAGGACTCCTCTTCTTCTGTGCCAAACTTGGAGTCTCTCCTCTCCTGGTCTCTGGGGTCTGTAATCCACATCAAATTAGGATGCCTTCGTTCGCCATTGCAACCTTTTATAAGTTGGTCGTGGGTCACTTACCCATATTGCCACCGTCGTATGGCTCGCCCTTTGATACGTCGCCTTGAACGCCGGAAACAGGCTCGTCATGTTCTGTGCCATCTCCCCATACAGCTTTCGCTGCAGTTTGTGCCATGTGGCTGATGGTCTCCATGGCGGCCTCGGGATCTGCGAACACTCTACGATCCAAGTTTTTTGGCACGTGAGAGTGTGTGGGAGAAAAATTGCTTTGGCTGTAAGAGCAAAGGATCGAGGTTGGACAGGTACTTGACACGGCGAAAGGGTATATCGGTTTGGAGGGTTGACAAATCGAGGGGGTTATTGTTGCTGGAGGACAATGGGTCAAGGATAGCCTTCGATAGCGGGCTATTTATGACAATTTACGGATTTACACTTTGTCACACAAACAAGGCGCTACAAATCATAACTAGAACCAGTAGCAGTGTTTTCTCTGACGTCGTAGCAGTACGAAAGGGAGATGCGATATGGTGTATCAGAGTCAGCAATAATTGGTCCAATTTAGTGGCAATCCTTGCCTCACTCCCTTTGCCCCCAGACTGCAGCCGCCCATGAAGGCCCCTTTGGTGGGAACCTGGCGCAGTAAGCCGGATTTCACAATTTCCTTTTGGTCTTGTGCCGTAGCCGATTCATGATTAGTCGTCGTAGCCAATCGGGAGCGGCACGCTTCTGGAAGTGAGCCGACAAGGCCGAGGGGTGGTAGAGTCTTTGTGCCCGATTCTGAACAACTTTATGTCATTCCAGTCCCGTTGGAATCTGGTGGCAGCCACAAGGCGATCCGATGGAGCCTTGGTTAGAGACTCGGACATCGGAAAAATAGAAGCACTAGGCCTCGCTTGCATGGATGACGTATTGACGTCTTGCCAGCAATCGCATCATCGGAACGGCGTCTGGGGCCGTGTGGCGGAGAACGGACTGGGTTTAGTGCCATTGGTTCCACCCGAGCAACAAGAAACATGAAGGCAGCAGCGACTACGTACGACGACGTTTAGCTCCCAAGAAAGATCTTCCCGAACCACGTGGTGTTCGAAACAGAGGATGACGTTGAGCCCTCTCTACTTCCAGGACAGGGTAAGGCAGAAAGAAGTTGGGCACAACCCTCCGAGTCTGTGTAGGGTGGCCGATTTCATGTCGACAAATTGAGACGCACAACATATGATATGCGTAACCCCAGAGTTTGAAGCGAATAGTATACGTACTTCAATATATGATAGCTCAGAATCGTCCATGCATGCAATCCAAGTAAAGGTCAAAGTGTATCGTCATTCACCTAGGCGACAACGCGGCCCCAACGTATGAACGCGAGGCTTGATCGCTGCTACAACTAAGTTAAATGGCACCTTTGATGGTAAAGAAGGTAGATTGTTCTAGATACCAATATGCCAAAGTAGCTCGCACTGAGGGAGAGGAATATATAACGTGTAGCAGGTCAAGTCGCTAGTGGGTGTGTGAGTCATAGTGTTGAGTGCAGCGACAATCCAAGCCACAGAGTAGCCAGCCTGGGTATGTAACTATACCTGGTTCACAAACTGCAATGAGGCTATGACTACCAGGTAGTTGGTTCTGAGGGTCTGCCTTGGGGAGGACGACCATCCCCCTAGCAAGAGTGACAGTGCTAACAATAGGCTGCTCGAGCCATATGATATTAGTCACCGCGAGCATTGTCCCTGGCAGAACGTCTCCCCTTACCTTACAAGATGGGCGAAGAGTAATATACTAGAGTACTATTCAATCTCTGTCGAACAGGCGAATGCTATTCTTGTGGAGCATAATGGTCGTTGAGAAATGTAAATAAAGTTAGCCGTTGACTCCGTGCTCGGATCGTAGTCAACTCACACCCTTTCTCCTTTCTCCTTGCTCAATCAAGCTCTGATACTTAGGTGTCGCCAAGTAGTATTACATATGTCGCCCATCTAACACGAGGTCCGTATTTTGCTACTCTAGACGACGATCAACCCCAAATTTAATCGCCCGATATTCATCATAGTATGGCCGCTTTTCGGATCGCAGGACGGATATACTTGGCTTGCCGGTTAACAGCGCGGTGTTCGGGAGGTGATCGCCTACCGACTAACCCACAAAATGACCATCGTCATTGTTCAGTGCCAACCGATATTTTCAGCCATATTGAGTTCAGCAGCGTGACTCGATTAGACTGACCGTCAATGACAAAAAGACGGAAGAGGGGCACTGAGTGAAGAGAGATTCGAAAACGAATAATGACGCTTGGCTGAGAGGGGAAAAGAGCAACGGCTGGCCAGTCAGTCAACTGGCTCCATGTCAACTGGATCCCCCCCAACTGGCTGGTCCCTCCCTGCTGCCACGCGCTTTGCCCCAACATTTGAACCGTACAGTTCAACTGGCTGCCTGCTCGTGGTCTCAAGTCTGCAAATCACTGGTGCGTATTCTGACATGGACCCTCGGACTTGGGGACGTGGACATGGACGCCCGCCATCGTCCACCCCGACATCCAGACCTCGAGTCGGACTGTGTCAATCCGAGGTCCGTACTCCGTACTCCGTACACGCGGCAACATCTCACTCAGCCCTGTGACCATGGATCGAAGCGCAGAGTCATGGCTTGCTCGCAGCTCACACTACGCACATATTGGCCTCTGCACTTCTGCGGTTATCGAATCGTCCTCCAAGCAACCGCGCAGCCGTTATCGCCTGAAAAGTCGAAAGCCTTCCAAGCACCCCTTGACTATATGTAGAGTATGCGATTCTTGGGCCTTGTTTTACCTGTCCTCAACCTCTGCCTCGCAGCCCGCAAAAGCCCCCTACCGCCTCTCCATGTTAAACCTTCGGGAGAGCGAACATGGACTGCAGTTAGTCATGGTCAACGACCGCAACAACATATCCTGAACCCTCCCCCGTGTACGGGCCACCTTCTTTTACAGCTATGAACAAACCAAAAGTGCTTACACTCAACTAACCTTTGACCTGCCCAGTGGTTTCTGTGGAAGAACACGACATCAAGTTTCCGCATCGCCCGTTCCGGCCCGTCTCTGGCTTCATTGCCCTTGGCGACTCCTACTCAGCGGGTATAGGCACCGGGTTCAACGGAACAGAAAACGACTGCCGCCAAGGTCTGCATGCTTATCCGGTTCTGGTCCATAGAGATCTCAGCCGCGCCCGCGGGCATCATGGTAATGCACCGGAGATGCAGTTTCTTTCCTGTACGGGCTCCACAATCGGCGACATGCTCGCGGGGTCCGACCATAGTCAGATCGATGGCCTAGATGCTACGGCGGATGCAGACTTTGCGCTCCTGTCCATTGGTGGCAATGATCTTGGCTTCTTCGACATCATGAATAGCTGCATCTTTCGCTTTTACAGCTTTTACTCAGGAACCTGCGAAGATGCTTTACGCAATTCCGAAGAAGCCCTTAACGGCCCCGAGTTTGAACATTACCTTCGTTTGGCCATTATGGAAATCCTCGACCGTGTACAGTGGGAGAAGAGGCCCTGGTTTACCATTACGGTCTCGGGGTACGCTCGCTTCTTCAACGAGGATACCGAAGATTGCGACGAACGATCCTTTGGAGTGTGGTGGCGTGGGCCCAAATTGAAACGCGAACTTCGCCGCAGGATGAACAAGATGGTTCTTTCAGTAAACGACAAGATTAACCGCTCAATTTCTGCTATTAACGCCGACTTCATAGAGCCCAGGGTCGTGTTTGTGGACTACGACGATGCTTTCGAAGGCCATCGTTTCTGCGAACCCAACGTCACTGAACCAGATTATTCCAGAAATGAAACATGGTTTTTTCTTGTCGGAGGCAAAGACAACCACCATGGCTTCCAAAGTCAGATGACAGGATCCGACCATAGCGAACTACTTCCCCGGAGCTCACCACTGATAAATCCAGATACTTGTTTTGACCCTGCTCAGAAATCAGGCGATTGGGGTGAGTTGGCGTTGTGCTTGATGGTCAAAGCTGCGAGAGAAGATCCTTCCCTTCGAACTAGCCAAGGAGAAATTATCACTCAAAACTCCATGTGGTATGTGCCTACATATTATGGCAAAACATTTCATCCTGTAAGTACTGCAAATACCCCTCATGGCGTTGATCTAGCAATTTGCAATGGCTTATCCTATCTTCTATTTATACTTGAGCTGACACTGATTTTCGCCATGAACAGCGGACATTGGGACACATGGCAATTCGTAACCGCATATACAGGCTCTGGAGCAGAATGAGCTCAGACACTTAGATGGAGGTCTGGCTTGAATTTTGTTCTGGTTTTTGCATAGCTGACTTTCAACGAAGCTTCTCATGCCACCAAATTGCATATTAGATAAGAACGGGAAGATATACAAGGAAATGAAATGAAATGAAATGATGTGAAACGAGAGAAAGCCATCCAAGGGCATGACTTGTATAACGTACTTGAATACTCAATTATTGAAATACTTATACAAAATTGCTTCGCGTGTTGGACAAGTAGGTCAGGTTTCGTGCTCCCTACAGAACTCACGTCAAGTGTAATGTGGAACCTGGTATTTGGGTGCTTCCACGCACGCTGTGAACGAGTGGACGTCGGGTGGGTCATCGAATCCGGGGTTAGCATCGAGTTTCGGACTATTAATTTCCCTCTTCCGGGCAGCGATCCGCGCTACATGTTGGGTTGGACTACCAGGTGCCCATGCGTTGCCCGATCGCTGCGTCGTACGTCGTGCGTGGTGCATTCCATGACCATTATATTTCTTTGTATCATTCGTAAGGCGTTGCGCCGTGGATGATAGAGTCGCAAATTCCTTGGGTGAAGTCACCAATATACCAGCAGTATTAAGCAGCTGCTTGGTTACGAGAAGGGCAAACCGTCATGGCGCCCGACGCCGAACCTCGCAAAGGCAAGCCAGGCTCGCGTTCCAGATAGTCCAAATAGCAGCTAACTCAGATTTTCAGGTGATGACCCAATCAACAAAGTCGTTTTGAAGAAGGAAAGCAAATCAGGCACCATAAAGCTGAAGAAGCCGCCCCCAAAGCACAACAAGCCAGGAAACTGGAGGGACGGTAGTGTTGTCGAAGGTACGTTAACCGCACACCTACGGTAACTTTGAGCTGCCTCTCATGTGACTTTATTAGATGAGAAAAAGAAAGCTGTGAGCTCCCCCTCGACGTCCGTGGCCTCTCCTGGCCCAGTCGTGAACCAACTAGACGACACTGCTCGAGAGACCTTTGCGACAGGACGACCTCTGGAGGATAGTCCAGATCTCCAGCAATGCAAGCACTGCAAGAAAAGTATTTTAAAGACTGCAGCCAAGGCACATATTGCGCAATGTTTGAAGCTGAAAAAGGAGAAGGCGCAGAGGAAGAAGGAAGCGCGAGAAGCGCGAGAGAGAGCTAAGGAGGCAGCCAGGGAGGAAGAGGCTCGAAAGGCTGATGAAGAGAATGGAGATGATGACAGTGACGACGACGATAAAAAAGTAAATGTAGCGGGTAAGAAAGCAGGCAAGAAGCCCGAGGACGAGAAGAAGGGCAGCAAAAAACGGAAAGCCGACGGCGAGCCAGACAAAGGACCCAAGGCGAAAAAGAAGAAGGACGAGCCTAAAGCCAAGGTTCCAAAGCCTAAAGGTACGAACAGAATCAATCTGTGCTGTGGGACGATGAGTATAATCTGGTTGGCTAACGAGGAATATCAGGGCCGGTTGATGTTGAAAGGCAGTGTGGTGTCATACTGCCCAACGGGCAACCATGCGCTCGATCGCTTACATGCAAGAGCCACTCCATGGGGGCAAAACGTGCTGTTGCAGGCCGTTCTCTTCCGTACGATATGCTTTTGGCAGCATACCAGAAGAAAAATCAAGCAAAACAACAAAGTGAGCTTTTTGACCCCTCTAGAGACCCGGTGCATTCGCGCCCCTTCACTTATCATGTCAACTGCTAACCACGTTTTTACCGCTCCCTTGCAGAGGCTGCTCTTGATGCGAACGCTCCCGTTGAGGACGAGGATGACGCGAACAACGGTCCTGTTGACTCTGATGAGGAAACCGGAGCCGTAATGAGCGCCTTATCCCACTGGCATCCCCAACCGCTTATTCCACAACCTGTTTTCACTCCAATCAAACGACAGTATCAGCTCTCCAGACTTCATGAACAATTGCAGCTGGCAACGAATGGAGGTCGTACCAACATTTTTCATGTGGTAGGATACGGCGCTCAAAAACTCCCGGAAGGACACCCCGGACTTATTGAAGGGGAAGATGCACCAGGCGAGCCAGACATTGGAGCCCTAGGCTTTCCTGCTTCTGCCCGATCATCGAACTTTGGTGCCGCAACCGTGTCACAGAGACGATCATCAGTAACAAGCCGCGGCTGAAATACGTCGGCCGTGTTCTTCGTCCCGGAGAATCCTGAGCAGGCCTTGTGCTCTTATCCTTGGACTTGACTTGACTACGTTGGTTACGACGATGGCTTTTTTTTTATATTTAGATGTGCGGATGAATTTACCTTGGCATAAGTTTGGGAAGCGGAAGTACGGACCTGGAAGGATTCTCTTTCCTTTTGTGCGTTACTCTTTTCAATGGGCAAGTTTGGAGTGGCGCCGCTTCTTTCGGTTTTACTTTTGTTTTAGATACCAACGGGTTCGGCGTTTTGGCATGGAAGCGTAATGATTTCACGACTGAAAATTGGATGTTTGACTTGTTTCCCAGACAACGGTATGGACATCGACAGAATACAAACGGATATCAGCATACAGGGGCTATTTTGGCTTGGCGGGGTCTTTGGCGATGGCTTTGTAGTTATAACGCATGATATCGTGCAAGCATTGCATTAGAAACTTGAATTCATCACGCGTGGCTGATCACGCAACATTGTTGAGACGTTGTGCGGGGTGATATTCGTATTCAGGTGATAGGCGACTGTTAGGTAGCCGTGTCTGTGTCGTCCAAGCTTAGCCGAGGCCATCATGCGTGTGAAAACTGATTGGAGTTGCCGTGATCATTTTGGTTAAGCACCGCCAAGGAGTACGTACCCGAGTATATGACGTCAATTGTCCAGACAAAACGTCGGCTCAGCTTCTTTTGCACACGACATCATCTGACAGGAAGTGCTTTCAACCTCGGTTCTCATATTATTCTAAGTCAACAAGATCCTGTTCAGAAAAAAAAAGGTTTGTTTGCAACATAATCTTTGCATCACTTCCGCCTTAGAGTGCAACCGACACACCCAACGCATTGATTTGCAGCCATCTACCCGCTTACAAGCTGCAGCTTGCAAACAGCCGCCTACTTGACCATTCCCATCTGCCGCCCTGCTTGAGCCAGAATATGTCGTCTACCGCGGCACTCGACGCCTTGGGCCACGCTATATCTGGCTCAATAGGCACTGGCGTCTCGACTGCCGCTGTTTTCCCCCTTGACCTCGTCACAACGCGATTAAAAGCGCAACGCCAGATGAAGAGCTCAGAGCACTATGATGGAGTAATTGACGGCCTAAAGGTCATTGCTTCACATGAAGGCGGCATCGCAGCCCTCTACAACGGGTTGGGGCTGGACATTGGTAAATCCTTGGTGGATAGCTTTCTCTTCTTTGGCTTCTATACCTATTTGCGCCAACAAATTCGCCATCCGCGTGTAATACAAGAGCTCGCTATGGGGGCGCTCGCCGGTACCTGCTCCAGAGCAATTACGACTCCCATCTCAAACGTAGTCACTCGTATGCAGATGCAGCCAGATACAGAGTCATTGAGCAAGGCATTGGCCGACATCAAGAAAGAGAGTGGTATCTCCGGCTTGTGGTCTGGTTATTCTGCCACTCTGGTCCTCACCATGAACCCCAGCATTACATTCTTTATCAATCGCCGGCTTGCGAAGCGTATTATCCCTGCCTTGGAAGAGGAAGATGTGCCGGTTGCGTGGATTGCCTTTCTCCTGGCGGCAATCAGCAAATCAACTGCTACCATTCTAACCTATCCATTTCAAACGGGACGAACTCGACTGCAGATGCCGACTGGCTTGGATTCTGAAGACTCAACGAATTGCGAAAAAGGGCTAGAGACAAAGTCGCCAGGTCAAAACACAAAATCCCTCATCTCTCGAATCCGCGGCGCGCTCGATAGAACAGTATTTGGTGTCATACTCCGAATTATCACCAAGGAGGGTTTGCGTGCACTCTATGACGGACTCCAGGGAGAACTGTTGAAAGGCTTCCTGAGCCATGGCTTGACAATGGTGACAAAAGGACTCATACATCGCCTTATCATCCGGTTGTGGATTCTTTCACATCCACAGCTGCGCAAACGGCTACCATGAAATTAAGGAGTCCAGCGTGGTATCTGATAAATGCCATCGACGCCAAATCCATCTTGTAGCGAAAGCCCCTTGGCCGACGTACAGTCTGTATATGCTGCTTCCTGAGAATCAACACTGAAATGCAACGCCAGATCGCTCCACGGTGTTGGAGCCTCGAGCGGAAAACCCTGTGCCCTCCGACTTCAACAAGACCAAGCCAGCTGGCAATTTGCCCGTTGATGGCTCATGCTTTGCAGACTTGCCGACTATAGGGGTCTCACATACATAGCACATGAGCCGTACTTCTTGTGCGGAAACTTCCTTGCTTGCGGGTATTAGAAACTTCTTGACGCAGCTTAGGCACAAAACATGGCCACATTGCTGAGCCATGACTGGGCTTGAGGAGTTGGATAGCGTTTTGAGACATGAGGGGCATGTCCATGGACCGCCCTTTGTGGACTGATCTCTGCCTTCTTGAAACTGGATAGTGACTAGCTTTTGCATTGAGATGGCGTGGGGATTGTCTTCCGTGGATGCAGGACATGTTGGTGTGGTCCTGGTTGCCTTGTTTTCTGCAGGGAGCTTACTATCTTGGACGTCTGGCGTGAGGGACGGTGTCCAGAATGAAGGAAGTGATGGTTTGACGGCCTGTGTACAAAGAAAAAAAGAGAAAAAAAAAGGTCAACTGTTGTCCATATAGAAAAAAAAGGGGGGATAGCATGTCATATGGGAATAAACAATTACCCGTTCATCTTCAATAGCTTTCCTAGCTTTTGCCTTGTCTTCTTTGGCTATGCGAATCAACTCATCTTCATCAAGGGTGAACTTGCGCTTGGCACCGGCACGGGAGGATTGTGCTTCGTGATCCCACGAGATGTCTTGATTCGAAAGAATGCCTCCCTTGTTCGAGCCAGTCAGTCCAGCCTGGGTCAGCTCAAAATTAAGGACGGCCCTTTTCTGATCCTCATCATCGTCGGCGGCCTTTGCACGAAGCGCCTCGTGCTGGGCCTCACGACGGGCTTTCTCGGCCCTCTTGAGCTCCTTCTTCTGTGCCAATAGATTGGCCAAGGCGCACTCGCGGCAAAAAATGTCACCTAGTCGGCAGGCAACTGGGTCACGAGCAACCTCTAAGCAAAGGCCACAAGATCCGAAGGGGAGAAAGGAATCGCGATTCAGGCGAGCGGAACTGGAGGACCAATTGGCCTTGGCGAGAGCTCGCTCGTGCGAAGTAAAGACGGCACGAGAGGTGTTTCGTTTACCTGGAGCAATCAGCTTTCATCAGATTGTGTGCCATGGAATGCAACGTGTATGGGAGCGCATATCCAGGTCGCCTTACTGTGTGACATGTTGGGAAGCGTGAAGGATGCTTCCAAGGAGCAAAGTACCAGGACGTCTGGGTGCACAAACTCACTGCAACAGGTGGTCGAGCAGGCTACCAGTAGCAACAATGATGTGAATAAGCTGAGTTCTAGGTACGTAGTAGTGGCTTATGAACGGGCAGATCAATGCACTAGATTTGCTAAAGGATCGACTGGTTTGGAGTTTTCTGAATATTGCAAAGCAGCAGTCAGGAACTACGGTGCACTGGTCTTGTGTCATGTGGTCCGCTGAGTTTCCAGAGTCTGCGCGAGTGCTGTAGTTGACGTGTTGTAAGCTGATCAGTGGCCGGTTGACATCTGCACCAGACTTTTCTTCCACTGGACCACTGGTGGCAGGCGCGCCGCCTAGGCGCATCCCTGCAGCTTTTGTGCTGCAACTTCGGAATGGGTCTGGTCCATATCAGCTTCTGACGCTTCAGCAAAGCTGGTTGGTGCTGGAGTGCTGGGGTACCTACCTAGTACCCAAGGACTCAGGGACCCAGTCAAGCCAGATATCCAGGTACTTGGTAGTAGCTCCCTCTCTCCAGATGTCCTCGAGTCAATATTGAAATTTCATCGTCGCCGGCCAATTATGCCAGCTTGGAGAAGTTGAACCCTCCCAACCACCTAAGTGCCTAGTAGATATCTACTCACGTACGGAGTACGGCTTTTTTTTCCTTTGTAGAGAACCGAAATCACGACGAGGGGAGATAGTTTCGTAACAGCACCGGTTCTCCATGAGCTGTAGCCCGCAAGGCAACGCGTGAGCCGAATAATGATTATTTTTTAAGTCCCTTTTCACCAACCTCATCGAAGCACCACCGAATTATATCATGTCTAGCCCGGCCCCGGCCACGCGTAACAGCCTGCCATGGCGACTTGGTTCGATGGCTATCATGGGCACTGTGGGTGTTTTGTCTCGGGGCTTCTTATACGGACTCAACAATGTCGAGGTGATTGGGCTGGGCCATTTGCTTGAAACCCTCGACCGTCGACGGACACAAGGTCGGGAGCGAGGTCTCTTGACAGTATGCAATCATGTGGCTGTGTAAGTTAGAAGCACTCGAGTGTACTCAGTCTCGGCATTGCGTTGTTTTCTCGTGGCATACAACCCCCCTATTCATATACCGCTTAATCGATCCTATGCATCTTTCATCCGCTAACGCAAGAGGGAATGCAGTCTCGATGACCCTCTAATGTGGGGGATTTTGCCTTTGCGTTATACCGTCAACCCCGAAAATCTACGTTGGGGGCTCGGTGCACATGACATATGCTTCAAAAACAAGTCAGTTGATCCCGGCGTGTACTAACTCTTAGTGGTGGTTGGTGTTTTATTCTGCATACCAGCTTTTTTTTGTGAAATTGAACCTCTTGTTGACGCCGAAGATTTCTGTCAGGCTCTCCTCAACCTTTTTCAGCCTTGGTCAAGTTCTACCTACCCATCGACTCTGGCACTCACCACTCGGTGGCTTGTTCCAACCTACAATGACCCAGGCAATCGGCCTCCTATCAGGCCCCGGCCAATCAAGCTCCTTCAAAGATCTATCTTTCTCGACGGACGGGAAGGACTCTTTTCCTTCACCGGCGGCATACTCTGCAAATCTTAATTCGTGGGTTCACGTATTCCCAGAAGCCTGTTGCCACCAGAGTCATGAGAGCACTTTACGTTATTTCAAATGGGGCATATCGCGGCTCATCCTCGAAAGTGACCCGCCTCCAGAGTTTATCCCAATGTTCATTCATGGCACACAAGATATTATGCCAGAAGATAGGGGTTTCCCAAGGTTCCTGCCTCGCATTGGCAACAAGATACGTGTCGTCATCGGGAAACCAGCCAATGTTGATACTGTCTTTGGGCGCGAACGAGAAAAATGGAAACAGCTCGTGGAGAAGGGTGATCACGAGTTTCTCACCCACGGCCACGAGGCTGTTCAGTTGAGAATTCAGGTCGCAAAGTCGGTAAGGGACGAAGTTGCGAAACTCCGAGAAAGCATAGGCTTGCCGCCTGAGCAAGATGAAACTGCCGCTTTGGCTGACACTTGGTCCAAGGAACCGAACAAACGAAAGTTCAAAAGCCCAGTCGATGGCAGTCTGGTAAATAGAGTCTAAAAAGCATCCTCTAGATTTGAAATATCTAGAAGCGTGTTCAACAACGATTGATGCACTTGAAATGTACGAGTAGCATGCTGTATTATCCGTCATCCGAGGATACTTTTTTAGAATAATTGCAACACAATCTGATCCCAGTGGTATCGCAGGCTTATTAGGTTCTAATTTATCTCCTAATCCCTCATGACTATGACGTGACTCAATGATGCAAAGCTCGTTCTAACAGAATACTCGCTGTGACCCAGAAAGAAAAAGAAAGAAATGTCAAATGCCAAAACGATGCAAAGAGCATGCCGTCTCCCAAGTCTAGTATAACACAAAAAGGACAATTCAACACCCCCAAAACACCGTCGTCTCCCGTTTTGACAATCATCAGGTTGCCGAGACAAACAAAATCTCGAATTCTCCAAGGATCGATCATGTTTCCAACAAAAGAAGAAGCCCCTGTACCCCTAAAGGTGTCTAATGCACCGCACAAAGGACTTTGGCGACAATCGACAATCTGTCCAGAAATCAAGATGGTCCGAGCTTGCAGGGACCAAGTTGCTACATTCTAGTAAGTATCGTAATTCTGCGCTGGTACACCTTGTTGGTAGGCCCTTGCCTGGGCGTGCAGTGCCTGCTGCTGGTGGTGCTGTTGCTGATGCATGACCAAATCATTGAACCAAGGGTGTTGAAGAGCGTCATGGGCACTAATTCGCAGTTCAGGACGCAGCTGCAACATTCGCTGCAACAGGTCGATCCCCACAGGGTCGATGGCTTGGAGAATATTGCGGAGGTCCTGAGTGGCATACATTTGGAAGGTAGGCTTATAGTCTGGGAACTGTGCGATGCCGGGCCAAGTGCGCTCAGTGGGCGTGCCCATAATGCGGAATATCCTGACAATCTGGTCCTCGTTTGTAGTGCCCGGGAAGAGAGGGCGGCCAGTATACATCTCAGCCATGATGCACCCTGCAGACCATATGTCGATGCTGGTGTTATACGTCCTGCTGCCCAGCAAGACGTCGGGAGCGCGATACCAAAGCGTGACGACTTCGTTGGAAAAGGTATTGACGGGGATGCCGAATGCTCGTGCCAGACCAAAATCTCCAAGTTTCAAAAGTCCTTTGCTGTTTATGAGAAGGTTTTGAGGCTTTAGGTCGCGGTGCAGGACCCGGTTCTGGTGGCAAAAGTCGATGCCCTTTAGGAGCTGATACATAAAGCTCTTGATAGTGGCGGGTTTCAGGGCCCCTCGCTCGCCATGCATGTCCATGTATCTTTTGAGATCCCCGTCCATATATTCGAAGACGAGCATGAGCTTGTTCTCTGTGTGGATGACGTCGTGTAGGGCAACGATGTTGTCATGTTTGAGTTCCTTCATAAGAGAGATCTCTCGAATTGCAGTCGACGGGGTTCCCTCCTCGGAGTCAAGATGTATTTCCTTGAGAGCGACGAGTTCACCAGTCTGTCGATTTCTACCTTTGAATACCTAGATGCCGTGGCGTCAGTCAGTTGATTCATCCGCTGGCTGATACAAGTGCGCGCGAAGTGGAAGGCCGCAGATTGGTGGGTATACAAACAGTTGCGTAGGTGCCTTCGCCCAGCTTCTCCAGCTGCTGAAATGAGCTGGGATGCCTTTTGCCATCCATGTTGTAAAAGTTTCAGCGTCGGTGAGAAGAGAACCCCAGTCTTGTTGCGGTGTCAAGAAAGAAATGCAAGGCCAGTCGTGGTAACTCGTCGTCAGCGTAGTTCTCTACCATCAAGGGAGGACCTTGACTCAGTGTTGGCTACGGAGTAACTACGAGGGCAATTTCAGAAGGAGAGGGGCAGCGCCCCGCAAAGCCGATATCCCTGCGTACTGGCACGGAATATAGTAGTTATTTGCGTCGCAAAGACATGCTCCAACTGAAGACCGTACCCCTCAGAGTGGGGTTCTTGGGTATCCCCATCAGTCGATCACGCAGATGTGGCAGCTCGTTCACGCAATGTGGTCCATTGGTGATGCTGTCAACCACTGCTCTAGAGGTGGACTCATGGGCTGAATTGGCTTTCTCTTGAGTATGGTCCAACGGTAACGGATAAGATACGTCAGGTCTTGGGTTAACCCGCCTCTGAAAGTTGCGGCCGACCCAACACTGAACCTCGAGGTCGTTTTCGGAAGTTTCGCCATCCCTCGAATCGAGCGCCTTAGTACCGTTTCTATTGCTTGACTATAAATGACTGTACCTATAAGGTGCATCACCAACTAGGTAGGCAACATGAGGCCTCTGCCATCCGCGATCACCAACTCGTCGGGTCGAGATCAGAACCATGACAACTGTGACACACTCTCGCAACCAAAACCAGTAGCCTCACTGGATTGCTTTATTACCACAGAATCCAGTTTAATGGACGATGATTCTACCCAGGGCCGGGCTGAAGCCATTTCGACCGTCCAAGATTATACATATACACAGAAAGCAACCACCAACCAAAATATGCACGAGTCCGACGGTCCCTGGTTGTTGCCTCAGCCCGACCCAGCTCCATCATCTGCGGCGTCGTCAAATGCTGGGCAAGGGAGATCGTTGCCTCCGACGCCGGTATTCGCCAGCAGCCATGGCCCGGGCTCGGCAAACAGCATTCCCTCGTCACCTGGAGAACTATCAAGCGTCGCCATGTCGGAAGATGCTCACAGTCTGTCCGCCAGTCTCTCGGAACTCCCCCCAAGTCACTCACCAGTCACGGATACTTCGCCGATTGTGCCGAGGGGCCTCACACCCCAGCTTGTGATGCCTAGTTTGACTGTTCCTCAACGTCGTCCGTTTTCGGAAATCGGGAAATCGCTAGGGAAACTGAAAGTCCTTGTGACGGGCCGTCGCGGTAGGTTTCCACCCTGTGCAGCAAAGGTCGCGACGCCAAGCTAACGCTAAATGTAGGCATCGGAAAGACATCTCTCATCCTCGCTATAGCCCAGTCGTCCGCACACATTGTTCACATGGATACGGTCGTTTCAGCTTCGAAAGACATGGCCACTGATGTATATGCGAGCACTCGCCCAAAGCCCTGGTGGAGAACAGATCTAGATCATGACCTCTCCGGGCGACGGCGGTCGTCAACTTCAGACCAAGTTTTGGATAGGAATATCTGTTTTGTGGACTGCCCGGTGTACGGAGATGATATTCAGGTACAGATTGCAACTTTCTTTGCTAAGGAAGCACCGTCTAATTTATATTCAGGGATCATCACCTGCCGTCGATTACGTCGAGTCTCGGCTGGCTCAGTTGGCCCACAAGTCTATGAACGACCCGGATCTCCGCGCCCTGTTAAGTGGAGGGGCAGAGTCGAATGTTGATGTGGTTCTCTATCTACTCCCACATTCGGGTATGTTCCTTCTTTTACTCGTCGAGTAATCGCTGTTGAGCTAAAACCCATGATAGGCCCCACTAGTAACGACATACGATGTATGAGAGACTTACAAAATGCAACAAATGTCATTCCACTGCTAGCGCGTGCTGATGAACTCTCTACCGAAGAGCGTCTTTTAGCAAAGAAACGCACTTTGCGGGGCATCGATGCCGCGGATCTGGATTGTTTCTTCTTCACTACTCCGGAAGGAGCTCAGGATCACCCTCGTATTTATGCAATTTCTAGTGCGACCCAGGCAGACGCTGAAACCATCGACGCCAGTATTCTCATGAGTTCGGACTATCTTCCACCTTTGGTTGCAACTGACCTTGATCACCTGGTCGAAGACTTACTATCCGTGGAAGGGAGCACTTGGCTTCGTCATTCTGCAGCCTGCAAGGCCATCAAGTGGATGCGACAACAAAGACATCAAGGCAGCTTACTGCCATCCGCGCTCACATGCACGAAATTGTCCCCGCTTTTTGGCCTTTCCCGAGTCCATTTTACAAACCAAACCCTCAATCAACAAGACCGGGGCCGAATTGAAGTGGCAAGCTGGGCTGAGGGGCTACGACAGAGTTTGGTCGCAGAAAGGTTACGGCAACAGGTTGCGCAGAGCATGTCTCTAACCCGAAAACAGCTGGCTGTGACGAGACGTAGTCGACCATCTCCCAAGTCTTCACGGACTTCGGCTCCTTCATTGACTACGACCCATCAAGATCCTCTGGGCCTGTTAGAGCTAGTGAGTCAACTACAAACCGGTGGCAAGTTGACATTGGAATTGATTAGCAGCTTCGGAATTCTCGGCTGTGTTGCAGCTTGGGTAATTCGGCCGGAACTAATGCATCAATGGGATATCAAATTTCCCCCTTGCCTGTGCTTGGTCTGAAGCATCGGCCGTTGACCAGCTGGTGTTCTATCAATGGCGCAGGCACTGAGGAGCCCCCCAACGCAGCCACCCTAGCAAGGACCATATGAGAGGTCATGAATTACACGCTACCAATGTATGATACTACTCATAATTCCCCACAATTCGATGATTTGTTAACACGACATACTGCAACCGTGTAAGATAATGCTAGCTGGCAATCTATATCCAATTTCATGATTTCAACACCTCCAGGATCAATTAGACTATGAGTGGGCGCAACAGAGGCCGTAGAACTATTGATTAATTTTTGCCTTGGTCCTCCGAGACGATACCAAGCGCTTCGAGAGCCGCGTCAAAATCAGGCAGGTCGTCGGCAGTCTTGGAGATGTGCCGCCAACGCACCATTCCGGCTTCATCTACTGCAAACGCTCCGCTCTTTTGCCACCGACTTCCACTCTCGGTGGGACGGTTCCAGATGCCTTCATCGGCACCTAGGCGATAGACGGAGTACAAAGCTATAGGGTTGAATGCGTGCCAAGTGTTGGATAGTCCCAGCCCCCATTTTGCGTAGAGATCACGGCCTTCGTCGATAATTACGTCAGTATGCCAAGCACCTCCAACTTGGGGTATCCAACGCTCGGTGGCTTCGGATGAGGAATGGGACACCGCAATGCAGTGGACATCCCTTTGCTTTTCCGACACTGCTGTCAATGTTTTAAAGGTTTTCTCTGCAACTTTAGATTTATCGTCAGCTATCCGTCTCACATGATCGACTTGCAAAAAGAATAGTCAATCTTCCACCGCATACTTCCGGGTGAGTAGCTGATTCCCGGAAGAGTACAGAGCGATACATCCACGTGGGCGGAGACGGAGTCTGGCAGCAAGAAGATGACTCTTGCAGTTTGAATGGAAAACTCACAGGGACAGCCACAGTGACGCAAGAAAAGTATTAATGTCTTCCTCCCATCTGGTAAAACGAGTTCAGGTGCAGTCGGTGCGTTCGCCCCAACCTTTGGTTCCGGCGCGACGTCCTTAGGTTTTGGCGACTTCATAGACTCTATTTCTGCCCAGAACCCTGACCTGGTCGCAGCTGGTTGGGGAGCTTGTTGTGAAGCCTGCTCAGGCATGATTATTAGGCTAGACAGTAGCGTTTGTCCGTTGGTTTTGAGGTCCTGTCGTCAAGGTCACTTGTGCCGGCCTGGATTTTTGTTCGGAGTGCATGCTAGGTTCATTTAAATAGAACTCTCGACCCTGTTTATGACGACATGCCACGAGACTCGGCGCTGCCGGTGACGACCATTAGGTAACCGGGCTTGGAGGCTACCCTGCAACTTGTTCGTGCACAAAAATTCCAGAACTTCCAGGCCTACCCGCGGGGGTGGGGCATCGACCAGTTACTTGGCTGCTCTGTACATACCGACTGCCCTGCATGCTCGTTCATTTTGGGCAAGGATGTTTGAGTAACGCAGCTGATTCATTTGCCGTGCGTCTTCGTCTGCTAATTAATACCTGCCTCTGGACTCAGGACTCAGGACTCATCTGAACTGATATCTGGCGTAATGCGTGAGATCATCACTCTACAGTTGGGCAATCTCGCTAACTATACAGCCACCCACTTCTGGAACGCACAAGAGTCATATTTCACATACGCCGGACAGGAAGAGTCCCTGGTGGATCACAACGTTCACTGGCGGGCTGGTGTAGGAGCTGACGGCACCGAAACCTTCCTTCCGCGAACTGTACTATACGACCTGAAAGGTGGTTTTGGATCTCTGCGGAAAATCAACCCGTTGTACGACGCAGCATCAGACACGACTGTGGCTGCTGATTCACTATGGTAAGATTGGGAAAGACATCTCGACGGGGCCACCACACGGCTCAATGCTCATGCCCTCCCAGGAGGGCAAACTCTTGTGCACCTGCTTACTCGTACGGTGTGTCGCATATTCTAGGACGGGTCCGTCGACTGTTCACCAGCAGAAGCTGGTCAAGCCGAGTGCATATCAAGAAAGTCTGGATTCTGGAACGAAACCTCCTCCACTAACGACGTCAACTGTAAGGTACTGGTCAGACTTCTCTAGAGCGTACTTTCACCCAAAGTCGCTCGTGCAACTCTATGATTTTGAGCTAGATTCCGCAATACGTCCGTTCGAAAAATTCGACATGGGGACAGAATTATTCACGTCACTGGATAAAGAACAAGATATCCTCGATAGAGACTGGCGGCCATTTGTTGAGGAATGCGATCTTATGCAAGGCATGCAAGTCTTCACTACCATAGACGATGCATGGGGGGGATTTGCATCATCATACCTAGAGGCACTGCGGGATGAGCACCCCAAATCTTGTATCTGGGTCTGGGGAATTCAAAGCCCGTTGGCGGACATCTCTAGAGAGAAGCGTCTGCTACGCCTATCAAACACGGCCCAAAGCCTCCAACAAGCGTATACACAAGCTTCAACGCTTGTGCCTCTGGCTCTGCCCGAAAGCAAACTACGGCCACACATAGAGTTGGATTGCAATTCTTCGTGGCACGTTTCGTCACTGCTTGCTACCGTTTCCGAGAGTGCCTTGCTTCCGTCCCGTTTGAAGGGGTGCAATGGCGCTTCACTGGCTGACTGCGCCGAGAGTCTCAACACAAGCGGCACCCGGACCATTGCCAGTGCAGGAATGTTCATTCCGACAGACACCAGTGACGGTATGGGTGTAGGAGACAGCTTAAGCTTTTTCCAAATTGGCCAGGACAGCGGCAAAGTTAAGAATCGACCAGAACATATCTTCGGACAAATTATGTGCCATCGTGGGCCAAACACAGAGCAAACGAAGCCAGAGGAGACGGTGGACACGAGACGACGTCAAATCCTTGGCAATTCTTTGACAAGCAAGTATGAAACACCAACATGCTTATTGACCAGTGGTTGTTGGGTAAAGGCTTACTCAGCACTCTAGCTATTTTACGAAGTTACAATTTCCTCTGCTGGACAGTTACCCACATATATACAGAGGTGTAATGCACAGGCATAGTATCTCTGTCCACACTGTTATCAAGACGACTACGTCAATTTCGACTCGAATGAAAGACCTGAGGTCCCACGGAACTCGACTGATCCGATTAGACGAGCGTGAGGCACTGAGTAATAGCCTTGCTGAAATCGCTGATGCCTACCAAGATGACTGGTCCAGTGGCAGTGATGAGGACGATGACGAGTTGTGATTTACGATATGAGCCAAGACGGCTTGCAGTGGAGGGAAAACCAAGTTGAACACTAAATGCTTTTATTCATAGTTTAGCGCAGCCACAAAATCAAGGGCTGGCTCTAAATACACTCTATCCTAGAGAGCTATGGCATATCTATCGCTGGATCTAGCCGGTCCACACCCTGCGAAGTGTGGTGCGAAAAATCATGCCACCAATTAAATTGGGCTAGTATACCCCCGAGAATTTTTTTTTCCATAATTTGATCGACACCGAAGTGCTCACCGTGACTTGGCAATGTGTTTTGCGCTGCTGACCCTTTCGTTCTTGTGTGTGCTGCTCGTTGTCGTACAGCGGAAGCTAGATTGAAGGCGGGATGCAGTATCTACTAGCTACCTGAGGAACCTGAGGAGTCGACGCCTAGAAACAAAGCCTGCAAGCTTTGATAATTTACGTACGTCAGCAGATTGAATCAAAGTGGGGGATCCAGCCGGGACCGAGTATTGCCATCAAACCCTTTTCAAGGTTCATGTTGGTTGGCGGGCCGGCTCGATTGCTATCCGTTGCCAACTTCTTTGAACGAGTTCGTAAACGGAGTACTGCGAAATTTGATACGGCACTCAACCTGCAGCTGCAATAGAGGCCTGCTGTCGTTTTGCTGGAGGTGGGTTGTCCTAAGTGCAAGTTAGCCCTGGGCTACGGTCTTTGTAACTGTCGCGACAAGGGTTACCTCTGAGGGGCCACGCTTCTTCGATGTTCCCTTGGCGCCCTTTTTTTGCGGCTTCTTCTCACCAACATCGAATACATCGCTAGGTAGATTAAAACTTAATAGATAACTTAGCATGATCGCCGAAATCTCAAAGTGAGGTCCAAGAACTTACTTTCGAACGTGTTGTACGCCAATAGAAACAAGTGGTTTCAGCTCGTCTTGATACTTCTGCCATTGCGTACACAGGACTTTAAACTCGTTTACTTGGTAGGAGAGATCAAGAGACTTGGCGGCTGCCATTCCATTAGATATTGTACAGCTAGTCTTGGCCGGAAATCCAGTAGCATGGGAACAACAGAATCGGAATTATGGGTGTCACCTTGCATTCCAGCTGGCTTTTGTGGTTTTTTTTTTTTGGTTTTGTTGGGGGGGGGGGGGGGGGTGGTGTAAAATTTCCCCCCCC